CTCACGACTGCTGGTTCCTAGGTGGACACTTCACGTCCCAGGAGACATATGGCACCATCTACAGATGCTGGGGTCAAAGGTTACTGATAGCTGGTAGGCAGAATCCTACAATGAGCATCAAAGAATTATCTGCCCCAGAGGCTGACTGTGATGAAAAACTGCTCCAGAGCTAGGCCATCTGAGTTTCAACTCAAAATCTGTGTAGCTTCTGGCAAGTTAATTAATTTGTGCTTATTGCTCTCATCAATAAAATTACAGTATCTACCTGATTTGTTGTCAGTATAAGTATATGAGAGAGGGACTAAGCCAGGTGCAGTGCTGCATGCCCATAATTCCAGCACTTGGGAGGTAGGGGCAGGAGGATAAGGAGCTCATCTCTAGCTCCATCAGATCCAATGCCCTCTTCTGGCTTCCAATGGCATGCACACACACACACAAATAAAAAATAACAACAAAGAAAGGTGCTAAAACAATATCTAAAACAAAGCAAGAACTCAACAAATAGATGTTCCTGCTTAGTACTCTATATTTTCGCAATTTACTTAAAAAAAATGTGGAGGTTGGAGAGATGGCTCAGTAATTATGCTCTTCCAGAGGATCTGGGTTCAAAATCCCAGTACCTACATGGCAGCTCAAAACTGTTTGTAAAGCCAAGATCTGACATGCTCACAGACATATATGCATGCAAACAGCAATGCATATAAAATAATTTTTTTGAATATGGTATTTTGCCTGCATTTATGCCTGTGCATTACTGCATGCCAAGTTACCCTCAGAGTCCAGAAAAACGTATCAGTCAGATCTCCCTAAACTGGAGTTACAGATGGTTGTGAGACACCATGAGGGTGCTGGGAATTAAACCTGGGTCCTGTGGAAGAGCAGATAGTACTCTTAACCACTGAGCTATCTCTCCAGTCCCTACCTTTCCAATTTCTGAGAACTATATTTTTGTTAGTCTGATACCTAAATACATTCCTTTTAAAGCATAGAAGAAAGAACATTACTGACAATACGCTAGGACCGATGGAAACTAATGTAATGCTGGCTAGTAGTTGTGATTTTAGATAGATTACTTAATCTCTCTGAGCTGTAGTTTCTCCACTGAAAAACAGGGACTACTGTATAGCAGACTTGCTACAAAGATTAAATATGACAGCTGCCAGGAGCCTGGGAGAGTCTGTCCCATGAAAGACCCCTGGGGATGCCTCTTTTCTGCCAAAGGAAAGTAACACCAGAAACAGAATAATAAAATCACGACAGTAACTCTCCTCCTGCTCTTAACCCACTCCCTTAGAGAAGTCAACTCTATTTCATCCCACATTTTGCCACGGCTCATGGAGGACACACCACCTATACTTCGGCCCTTGGCTCTATTCCCGACCCTTTTGGTATAAACACCCTAGTGGGGACAGATGCAACTGTGCCCTACAAGATGGGGCCTAGCCATCGATTTCTCAGTCTGTACCCAGGTTTGTGGTCCGCCTCCTCATACATCTTTCACACCTACCCTCCAAATCAAAACCACACTGTCAGGGGCTCTCCTCAGGGCAGCGACTCTACTTTCTCTGTCCTGTCTTCTCTTCAGTAAGGTCAATCAATGAGTTGCTCCTGTCAGATTCAAGAGGGCAGGTAGAAAGCCCAGCCGTGCCTCAGCTGTGCTGCCCTTGTATGTGCCATCGGCAAGCACACAACAGCTTTTGCAACAGGCTGCTGTTTCTTCTGCTGTGTACCAAACTTAGCACATCACACTGGAGGGAAAGCAGCTCTGTGGCCACCTTACTCATAAGCTTCATCTTTCTGTCTTTAATGATTTAATTAGATAGAAAAATAATAAAGGCTGTATATGTGTCTGATCATGAGGATGACTAACTTCATCACAGATAGCTTGCAAACTTGAATTCAAATCCTAAGCAATCTTTCAAAATTGCACCCTGGCAGGGTTGGGAACATAGCCTAAAAAGCACACACGAGGCCCTGTGTTTGACCAAAAATGCCTTGAGACAGTTTTTCATTCTGGTCCTGACTGCCACATTTTGGCTCAAGCTTGAGCTGACACTCAGGATGTCAAGGGTCCCTAGGTAAGAGTCCATTAATATCTGAGAGTTCTTTGGACAGTGTTCTGGGACCTGGGTGCCAGACTAGAAAAAAGAATGCATGGGGCAAAACCACTGGAGACACGCACTCTCAACCTGAGGTGAGCCGTTCAATGGCACAAAGAAGTGTCAGACAAAACACCTGAGGAAAGCGAGAGACTGCTGGGGTTGTTCCCATCTATCTCTCCATAAAATGCCACAAGGAGGAGCAGTGATGCCCAGGGAAGGACTTATGGATACCACTAAGCTCTGGTTCAAAATGAGCCTAGCTAACATACATAAACTCCAAGCGCAGCTTTGATGACTGCCAAGTTCTTACTGCATATTTGCTGCTTTGATGTAAACATATGCAAATAGAACAGAGTCAGAGCTGGGCTTGGTGGTCCACGCCTGTCATCCCAGGACTGTGAAGGGGCGGCAAGGAGGAGCAGTTCATGACATGTGCCAGCTACATGGCAAGCTTAAAGCCAAGCTAGTCTACATGAAGCCCTGTCTAAAAAACAAACTAAATAAATCAACAAAGAAAAACAGACACAGCCCCAAAACTGGCTCCAGCAGAATGCTGCTAAGAGTCTTGAGCCTTCCTAAGGTACAGTCACATATGTGTACTGAACGCACCATTCACTAGGCCACATTTCAGGTTACCTGTCCTGGGAAATGTGTATGTCACTGAGGATACAACTACTCTACAAAGTGTTTTGCAGTGAACTACTAGAGAAAAACACAATGTTTTGGAAAAAAAGTTTGCAAATCTTTACACATTATATTTTAGACCCAGCACCTCTTTCAGTTTTCCACAGCTTGTAGGAATGAAATCAGACATTCTATCATCAAAGGCCAGAAGGAAACCCATACAGATCACGAGGGAAGATCTTTTACTTTTTATATTTTTTAGACAGAGGCTCACTCTGTAGCCCAGGCTGCCCTAGAACTCTTGGTGATCCTCTTACTTCAATCTCTCAGTCCACACCTGGGATTACAGGCATTGTCCACCACTCATGGTGAAAAAACACTTTATCTCAGAAAGTCCTGTGTGTGTGTGTGCGTGTGTATGTGTTCATGCCTGTGCTGGCCAGAGGTAAGGAATGACAAGCCTCTGCCTACCAGTGCTAAAATTACAGATGCACACTCAACTTTTTCTTAAAACCTCAGTGCTGAACATCCAAGCTCAGATCCTCATCACCGGGCACTTTATACACTTAGGCATCTCCCAACCCCCAGGAATCCTGACTTTATAAAAAAGTGTTATTATGTTTTTTACCCTTAAAAATGTAAATTAAGGCCTGAAAATGGTGGCCCACACCTTATTACCCAACACTCGGAAGGCTAAATCTCTAAGGACTGCCTGTCAACAGAGTTGACCATCTGTCTTGGAAAAGCAAAAATAATTTGCAAAGAGAGATTTTTATTTTAAAAGCATGATACTACTTTAAAACAAAAACCCAGTCAGGCATCATAGTTAATATGAATAATTTTTTAAGTATTCCTCTTTTTTTTGTTTTTGTTTTTTTCTTTTTGAGACATGAGTCTGACTCTGTAGCCCAAGCAGGCTTTGAATATGTGGCACTCTTTCTTGCCAAATGCTTGGATTACAGGCATGAGCCACCACACCTGTCTTGATACATTAATTTTTTTCAGAATCAGATAAAGGCAATATGCTTAGGCTGGATTTGCTACTAGGTTCCAAGGATGGAAGAATATTTCTAGGTTTGATTTTAAAAGTCAACCATAATGTAACTGCAGCTTTATCTTTTTTCCTTTAAACATCAGCACTCACCAGTCACACCGTGCTTGACTACTAGATGTCTATGCAGCACAGGCAGAGAACAGCAATTACTTACGGGTTATTTGGGGGTATAGAACATGACTATCGGGATAATTCAAAATTAAATACAGATTTCACTGGGGATCTATTTTAGCTGGGAAAGCTGACTCAATCTTCTAGTAGCGTCAGCTGAACAAAATTTGTAGCCCAATAGGCTGTTGACATCATTTGAGATAACAAAAGCAGGCAAGCAGCACAGCTCAGTGGTTACGAAGGAAGACTTGAAGATCGAATCTTGGGATTCAGTTCTTGTTCTATTATGTGTTTCCTAAATGACCCTGAGTGTCCTCAACTCCTCTATGCCTGAGTTTATCTCTAAATTGTAGTCTGTATCACCATGTTTGCTTGGATGATGGTTTGCACACAGCAAGAACTTTTTCGAGTATCTGTTAAATGAAATTAAATGTGAATTTGCTAGCTCTTCTCTTTGTGCTGAGTTGAAATACTCAAAGAATCTACAATGAGCGTATGGTGATTGTAGCCTTTAAATTTGGCAGATTCCTGTAAGAGCTTCCCTAAGGCTTTCCGTAAGATGTGGAATTCTGTGGCAGTCTAGTATCCTAAAGCAGGGCTTGGGGACAGTCATTGGTGCTCCTGGTATTGGTGACATCAGAAGGAGAGTGAGCTAACAGCACAAAGGAATATGAGGACTGCCCCCTCAGGCTCCCTAAGCTACTGCTGGTAACCTCTGGGAACACCGGCACACAACAGCAGCAGCTCAAAGGGATGAGACAGGATTTTCTTACAATGATAATGAAATCTGGCTCTTCTGAGTAAAGAGCCTCCCCTTCCAGGATTAAACAGGGAGAAATCCTTTCATCAATGAGTTTATGGGTTTATTATCATTACTATATGTGATTTCCAACCAATTTTTTTTTCCTCAATAGGAGCTTACTCTGGAGAAGTATTTATTTTACAGAACTACCTAGGCATCTTTTCTGGACCTGTAACAAATCTAATGCCCCCAATGAGCATCTAAGCCAGGACAAAAATCTTTAAATTGCCTGGGAAAAAAAAATATGAGAAAGAATTGTGTCCTCTGAGCCACATTTCAGCTGTGATAGAGGATTTCGAGCACATACCTTCATCGGGACTTGATTTCAGAGACAGTCTCCGTGGGTCTTCCTGGTCAGGAACAGCTCTCGGACAGGACTTTGGAGGATGCCATAAGCCACCAGGAAACCTTCGGAACACATTCATATCTGTCGTCTGTCTTCCCTCAGCTCACAGCCTGCTTCCTGGTAGGGAGACAAGATGACGCTGTGCAGGGTTGACTGCTAAACCATCTTCCCACCCCCAGCTCCCGCTCTCAGTGCCCCTCCCTTCTCCTTTCCAAGGCTCTGGAATGTGTCACATGGGAAATGGATCATGTGGCTTGGGGGGAAATGTGGCCATCTTCTCCCTTCCCCCACTTCTCTTTTCAGGAGCAAGGCAGCAGAAATCTCTGACCTGATTGGCTCTGATCTGAAAATCTCCATATGAAAAGGGCAAGATTCAGCCACACAGACCTCCAGTCTTCCTTCCTTTTTTTTTTTTTTTTTTTTTTTAAATCAGGTAATTTTACCCTGAGCTTTCAGAGTTGCTTCATAGGGGAAGAAAATTATGCTTTCTTTCCAATTCCTCATTCTCTTCCTATTACCAGAATCCAGATGCGGCTATGTGTCCCCTAGTCTATCTTGGGGGCACCCTTAGAGCACATCTGGGCAATGCAGTGTTCAGCACCACGGACAGCATTGTCTTCCTTCAGCATTCCTTAAAGCCTTTTGCCAATTTCAGGTAAATAAATCTATTTTTTTAAAGCTTTTCCCTTAAGTCTTTTATCTAAATATAAACCACACCATGTATTGTGGCTCTAACTTGCTCTACTGCCAACTGACTTCACTTAGGAGAACAAGTAATTCTTTTTAATTTCATTAAATCTAGAATGGTTTTCTAGTCCCTATCCTACAACTTATCATTACCCCTTAAATATACTTTTACCAGTTTGGTTTTCTGTGTGTTTTTTTTTTGGGGGGGGGATCAAAACATAGTTACTATATGTTCCTACATCTCCACTTGTAGGAAAATCCCCATCAATACACAGGAATTGTGGGGTGCACAAGCCTAGATGTTTTTAGCTTTGTCCGTGGGCCTCAGGCAGAGTTGAACTGGAGGCAGGATAGAAGCCTACTTGCAGCTATTTTGTGTGGGTCTATCCTGCTTTGCTGACGTCCTGGTTGCCATGGCGCTAGGTAACTGCTGAAGGGGACTATGGCTTTCAAAACCGGTCACCATGGGACCCTGCTGACTAGAGAAAGGGAAAAGGAACTGAATTGATGCAGAGGGCTTTCAGGGAACATTTGCAGAAACAAATCTACCTTTCAGACTTCTTCGTGACTGGATTGCTGTGGCCCTACATAGTGCCAGGGTTCTAGGAATCCATATTTACTCTAAGACAGTAAGTCCTCCCATCCTCCCTTGCTTCTTTCCTTAAAAATCTATTTGAATTGAATTGGGGACACCAGCTCTGTAGAGCATGAGAGGACTGCTTCCACAGAGCAGTGGGAAGAACACAAAAAAGGCATTTCTCTTTTGAAACTAGATGTCTGCCTTTTGGAAGCCACTCATATATCTCCAAAAGTGTACTGCAGAGATACCTAAGAAACATAACTGTATGTGGACCACAGAACCAGCTTGTAAATGCTCTGTCATTTTATAAGGAAAAAAAAAATTGTAAGCAAGCTGATAAATTTATTTTTTAAACATAAATCCTGGTAATAATCAGAGGACATTTGGATTACCCAAAATAAGAAATTTAAAGTTGCTTAGCTCAAGCCAAGAGTGTTGGTGCACGCCTTTAACCCCAGCACTCGGGAGGCAGAGGCAGGTGGATCTGTGAGTTTTGAGGCTAGCGTGGTCCACAGAGTAAGTTCCAGGACAGTGAAGGCTACACAGTGAAACCCTGTCTTGAAAAACAAAAAAACAAAAACACCTAAAAGTACCTTAGCTCAGTCTATCAAGGCCCTTCCTCACAACTTGAGCTCATTCCCAGGCTCAACATGCAAAACCAACTTCCCACATACTGTGGTACACACGCACACATGTATGTGGGGACCACAGGCTGATGTTGAATCCTCTCTGTAACCACTCTCTAATTATTTTCTGAGACAGGGTCACTTTCTCACCTGGAACTCACTTATTTGGCTAGGCCAGCCAGCCAGCCAGCTCCAGCATTTGGCTTGAGTACAAGAGATCCAAAATCATGTCCTCAAGCACTTGTGCTAACCAAGTCATCCCCCAGCCCTGCATTTCCTACTTTTAGTTTATGAAAGGGGCCAGGTTAATTCTTTTTTACATAAGACTCAGAATATTTTTGCTATGTAACCCAGGCTACCCTCCAACTCATGATCCTTCTTTCCCTGTCTCCCAGTGCTGGATTTAAAGGTATATGCCCTGATAACCAGTTAGAAATTCAGCTCTTAATTTTAGTATTTGCCACATTTAGGAAATTACCTCATAAGGTAAATAAGCATTATCTACTTGTTTAGTTGTTTGGGTAAGGTTGTCCTCAAACTCATCATCATCCTATCAGCCTTCTAAATTGCTAGGATTATCATCATTTGCCACTGAGGTAGGCTCTAAATATGTGTTTAGCCAGTCAGCATGATGGTCAGTACCTTTTTCAGCACCAAAAACAACTAAGCCAGGAGTGGTTCTACAGACCTATACCAGCATTTGGACAGCAGGAAGAGAACAAGTCTAACACCAGCCTGGACTACATAGCAAGACTCTGTCTCAACATCAGATGTGGCTTGTGTCTCTCATGTCAGCACTTGGGAAGTTGAAGCAGAAAGCTCGTATGTTTAAGGCCAGCCTGGGCTACACACAAAGGTCTTATCACTAAAAACAAAACACTATACTCACCCACTGATAGGTCAAAACTCCCAGTGGTATATTCTTTGAATTTATAAACCTCTTGAGGACCAAACAAGAGACGTGAATGGCTTAAGTAACCAGATAACCAATCTTCTTAAGAGGCAGTAGCAGGCTTGCCACCAAGCCTACTGCCTGAGCTCGAGCTCCAGGACCTATGTAGAGTCCACAAGTTGTCCTCTGCTCTGCCTACACACACCCTGGTGTGTCTGTGCATGTGAAGATACACACAGACACAGTAAGTGCAATCAACTTTAAAGGAGAAGAATAAGGAGGACCTTCCCAATTGCTTCAAACATTAACTAAAATTAAAAAAACAAAACAAAACAAAAAACAACAACAAAAAAAAAAAAAACCCAAAAAACAAAGGCTGGACAGACGGCTCAGAGGTTAAGAGCACTGGCTGCTCTTCCAAAGGTCCTGAGTTCAATTCCCAGCAACCACATGGTGGCTCATGACCATCAATAATGAGATCTGGTGCCCTCTTCTGGTGTGCAGGCAGAACATTGTATATATAATAAATAAATCTTTTTTTAAAAATCAAAACCCACTATCCAAGTGTTCCTGGGAAATCCACTAAAATGTTGTTCTTTTTTTTTTTTTTTAAACTTCTGTCTCCAGCCTCCATGCTTTAGGTTTGAAAGTTTCTGTCTTGTTCATACCCAAAACACTAGTCTCTCAAGCTGTTTTTTTTGGAGGTTTTATTGTTTTGAGTTTTCATTTATAATATAATCTTCTCCCAGGTGGGAGGTGGTGGTGCATGCCTGTAATTCCAGCACTCGGAAGGCAGAGACAGGTGGTTCTCTGTGAGTCTGAGGCCAGCCTGGTGTACACAGTAAGTTCCAGGATAGCCAAGGCTACACAGAGAAAGCCTGTCTCAAAAACAAACTAACAAAACAGAATCTTCCCCGTTTCTGTGTCTCATCCACTTCCCACCTATCGTGGTTCATTTCCAGCCTGACTGGACTAGGAAACCCCTCAGGAACGGGGGTGATATCCCCATGGGAGAAGTGCTAACCCTACAATCATGAAGGCCAGAGTTCAGATGCCCAGTGCTCTGAAATACAGGGGCACAGAAGCAAGAATCTGTAATCCCAGGGCTGGGGACGCAGGGCCCCTGGGCCTCACCCACCAGCCAGCCCAGCTAAGTTGGTAAGCTCAGGTTCAGTCAGAGACCATCTAAAGAATAAGGTGAGCATCCAATATGCGCATCAAGCAAGCGTGCGCGCTCTCGTGTGTGTGTGCACACTGTGTGCTCACTAGTGAGGCACACGTTTTAAGGATGTTCCCGGTGGTTTAACTGAGGACAAAAGACCCTCCTGCCGGGGTTCTGAAATAAAAAGAGGAGAAAGCTGAGTGTAACTATTCATGTCCGCTTCATGAATGTAGACGCAATGTGACTGACTGCCTCCAGCTCACACTCGCTCTAAACTATATCCCCTCAAACACTGGGCCAAAGTAAACCCTTCCTTTCCCAAAGTGCTTTTGGTCAGGTATCCGGTCACAGCAACAGAAAAGTAATTCATACAGCATCCTTCCAAATGAAGTTACTCACATCTTTCTTCTTTCACGTTTGCGGCTGAGGGCTAAGCCAGGGCAAAGGGCAGGCCAAGCATTCATTCTGTGCTAAGCTACACTCCCAGCCACACCTTCCTTTTTACCACACACTACTTTAATTTTCACACATATTACTTCTATTGAGGAATCTCTTGCATGTCAAGTATCTGGTTATAAGGGTTACTGCTGTTGTTGCTGTTTTTTGAAACAGGGTCTCATGTGGACCAGGCTGGCTGAGCTGGCTCCTGTCACTTCAAGGGACCTTGAACTGCTGACCCTCCTGCTCTGCCTCCCAAGGGCTAGAATTAAGAGGCATGAGCCACCATGTTGGTCATGTTTGTCCTCCAGTGCTCTTAACTGCTGAGTCATCTCCCCCCCCCCCACAAAATTTACAAAAATTCAAAGCCAACTAGGTGATCAATACCCTTATGTTCCAGCATATTAAAGAAATGTGAATTTGGGTGTTACCCCAAATTAATTTTTTTCACTGTTCCTTTAAAAACATCTTGTATATGTTGACTCTTTTATCCCTGAATTAAAATGTGCATAGTCCCACTATATTTCCTGGATATTTTTACTTAAAACAAACTACTAAGTATTTGTCTTTGTTTTGACTTGGTTTTTGAGGCAGGGTCTCCTGTAGCCTAGGCTAGCCTTGAGGGCTCACTCTGTAGCCTGGAAATGACTCATGCATCACCAACGATGGGACCTGAACCCACGGCTTCATGCATGCTAGTCATGCTCTCGGCTCCGCCGTTCCATCCCTCTC